CCCGCCTGCCAGCTGGGTTGCTGCTGTGGTATGAGGCCTCTGATACAACGTTCTCTGTCGTCAGCCGCACAGCCATTTGGTGGACGGAATAGGATCGAGTAAGACTCCAACCACAACACGTGGGTGTCATACACCTACTTGGCAAGAAACCAGTAACCGCTGCGCTAGAAGTAGGCGGGTGCCATGCATTCACTTAACAGGCATTAGACGGTAGCTTTACGGTGAGCTGGTCACAGCGCCTAATTTCATCTCAAATTGGCTTGTCGCCAACTTGGCGGTAGAGCTTGTGAAAGACTGAGAAATAGCCAGCCCGCTACAAATCGTGTTCAGCGCTTCGTTTTCTCTTCATAAACTACAAAGTACGCTTTGAAACTATCTCGATGAGTTAGCCATCGTGGTTTGAACGGTTACCAGCTGACGCAATAAGTAGTCCTGCTTTAAAATAAGGAGCTGACTGCAATGAGTGAGTATGCACATAGCCTTTATGGTAACTCATTTTGACGAGAGGCAGGTAGCCCGTTTATCGTTATCGATAATTACCTAATTTTCCATGGAAATTGTTGCATATGCAGCGAGTGAAGTTTTGGTTGTTGTATCTGAATAAGCCGACATGCGAGACTGGAAGAGACTTGGCGCTGTTGGACACGGCTCCTTGCAGTACTTTTCCATCCGCCCCACCATCGCTGCACAGATGTCTTAACGGGCCAATGCGCGACCACAAGATGTGGCTAGGGTGCTGTCAGGTTAGCATCCTGTTGGCACTGCTGTCGGTTGTCCTTTGTCTTCTCGGAATTTTGTGTAAGAGCTCCTCAGTCATCTTGAGGTACTCCGAGATCTTCAACCTGTCCTTTGTAACATCCCTCATTTCTTTAGTGAGGGCGAGCATCGATAGTAATTCCACAGTAAAACTGTTTTGATAGGTATTCACCCTATGTCCCCGTGGCGTTGCAACTTAGACGGCACAAAGATGCTGAGCAGGTCAGTCGATGTTATTTTCGGGAATCTGATCTTGCCAGTTCACCTTAACTAAGCTTCAAAAGCATGTTAGCCTAAAGTTGTCGCACCTGGTTTTGCTTAATTTTCCTAGCGTCTGTGCCACAGAGGAATGCTGTTAGGACCACAGCCTTGTATATCATGAATTCAATGCTGAGAAGAATGCCACATACGAAGTCCTGCAGTTTGCCGATGGCCTGCCAGACCTCTGGGGACTGCCATTTTATCGTTGATCTTGGGCCTTCTGAGAACGCCTGTTCCAAGAGCCCAGCATTAAGCAATGAGGATTGGCTACGTCTTACAACTGGTGCCTGTCGACACATGCTTTTTTTCCTCCAAGCCGATTGTTCGTTCGAACTTTGCACATCCGGAGACAAATATCTTCAGTATGTTATTACCGACAATGACGAGGGAGACTGGAATGGCCATTCTGGCTTATTAGCCGTTGTCAGCCAGTAATATTCAACCCCGAAGTGTGGGACACCCTAGGCTCGAACTCGCGACCTGCTAATTAGAAGTCCACGCCTCTAACCACTGGGCCACGAGCCCGTTGCCCTATCGTTTTCCATCGGGAATATCTTCAGACTTCTTCGCGTATTCCTTTCAGTTGTTGTGCTCAGTGCACAATCGTCGACGAAGAAGAATCCTTTTATCCTGACCTCGGAGGTCTTCGCAATGGCATGCATACGATAAGTGTTGAATCATTTTCGTCGACTTGATAGTCGATATGGACTCCGCGTCTGCCCCCAAAATGGGCACCCATCAGTATCGTTCATCCTACTTCCCTCTCCCCAAGGGCCTTTAACCTGACTCTTCGCGAACTCATTAGTTCGTAAGAGGGACTACATTTAGGATGTGGAACCTAAGCTGGAGAAGTGTGAATCATATTTCTGTTCCATAACTGCTCGCCTTACTCTGTAAATCGTGTAGGCTGGACCGTTCTTGGGATAATGAATCTCCAAAAACTGTTCTCTCAACTATGATAAACGACATTTTCTGGTCGGGGACGTGTTCAATGTGGCGATTGGCCATCGTTGACAACTGTGCATTGCACTTAGCCGTCATTCGGCCCCCAAATCAGATCAGCGCGAGACAAAATGTTCTATCAAATCTCGTTACTATTATTATTATTATTTCCTCTTCTTCAAAATCTTGCCCTGTGCGCCCCAAGCTGCTGGCGTATACCGGTCACTCGGACGGCTGTTGAGAATTCTAAACCGTAGATAGAATTAAACAATTCGCAGAAGGTTTTAAAAAGGGATTGAGATTGCGTCCTCAATGGAGATTCGCCCGCCACAAGGAGTCTGGTGTTGTCGCTCTCCTTAAGATAACGGTCGTTCACGAATCTTCCCAATTCGCCATGGGAGGCCCGAAGTGTCATGGCGCCAAGGAATTGAATATGACGATGGTCGCACTCGGGTCGGAAGACTGAAGCAAGTAAACAGACTGTTTCCGGCATTGCTGACGCAGCCCAAGGACAAAAAGTCGTAAACAGAACAAAGGTGGGCGGACGGTTTGTCGACCTTGTCTGTGCTACCAGTTTAACCGAGACGCCCGGATATGCTCTCTAGCTAGTAGACGGGCACTGAACAATTTTAGCTCTAATAAACCACAGACTGGCTCTTCGTGCACACTCCTCTAAAATGAGTGCTAAACAACCCCCGCCTATAAAATATGCAAAAGTTTTGTATGACTGACTTATGCGGTCCCCTGCACAGAGCATGGGAACAGGAACCAAAGATCCCGGGTTCGAATCTCAATTGATCCACACTTGGGGTTGAGCACGACTGGTTGATAATGGCTAATAGGCCGGAAATGGCCATTCAGGTCTCCCTTGTCTTTGTCGGCACCGTGTCATTTACTTTAGCTAGTCGCTGTGGGACTGCCTACGAGGGCTCCAGTATGAGCCCCGAGGCACATCGGAATGAGCATGTTCCGTAACCTGATCAGTAAACGCCCATCTGTCAGAACAAGAACCGCCTGCAACACGTATTGCCTTGAGCCAACTTCTAGTGAAATTAGGGTTAGGCTTAGTGTTATGGCTAGGGTCAGATTAAGTAAAAGGTTTAAGGCTATATTAACAGTTGACGCTAAGATAAGTCGGGATGAAATTGACAATTAAGGTAGGGGCTTGGGTCAAGAGAAGGACAACGACTTAGTTTATATGAGGGTTATTATTAGCGTTAGGACACAGAAGTATTTTGCCCTTTCCACAATTATTCGCAGGTCCAACTTTGTTACTTGGGCGGGGCGTACCTCTTACCGTGTCCTGTTAAGGGGGCCATATAAAATAAGTGTGCTAACTCAGGAAATGTTGACCGGAATTCCGAAATGCCTTTTCGTTTCGAAGAGATTACTTAAGTAGTACTTTCAAATTAACTATCTTGCAGCGTCATTATATTAGTCATTCAGTTACCGCGAGATGCCACCGTTCGGACGAACCTCTTCCCGGCCACTCACTCACTCCTTAAAAAATGACTGCTTAAGTAGCAGGAATTTTTCACATTTATTTTCGATGCCCTTAAAAAATCAATTATATTTCATGAAAAACATGCACAAAAATATCCATCCTTTTGCTCATTCGGTAGAAAATTACGTCTTCTTCCAGTTGTATAGCCGAAAGAAGGGCACAATGCGGTTTTTAAAAACTTTTCCGATTCCCGAATAATTTCGAACCCGGTCTGCCGTTACAGTTGTTTTCAGGGTTTCCAATCTACAAACCGCAGATTTTTCACGTACGGAGTAGGTCTTAGGGAGTTCATAAAATTTATCACTGGATTTGAGCCATCTTGTAAACTTTACAAGCAACATTAGTAAATGCACAGAAACAATGTTTTATAAACGACATTTCACGGTATAAAAATTCTCATAATTAGGAACTTTTGTAAAACCGAATCATACCCTCCTTTGGAGTACAAAACTGGAAGACATATTTTTTACCGAATGGGCAAAAGGATGAATATTTGTATGCATGTTTTTCATGAAATATAAGTGAATTTTTAAGGGCATCAAAAATCAATAAAAAAATTACTGCTACTTAAGCAGTCATTTTTTACGGAGTGTGGTTTCTTCATGCGGCCAGGATGAGCTTCATCTGAAAGGCGGCATCTCGCGGTAACTGAATTACCATATAATGATGCCGCAAGATAGTTAATCTAAAATACTCCTTAAGTAATCTTTTTGAAACAAAAATGCATTTCGGAATTTCGATCGACATTTCCTGAGTTAGCACATGTCAGTCCTGTCAAAAACATATTCAAAATACCAAACATTTTGAACAACGTTCCCATGTTAAATGGGTATTCATCTCTGCAGGCAACAATCTAAAAAAATTTGATGGTAAATTATTCGGCGGGTTTTCCTGTAAGTCACACACGCCGATGTTGACCATGTTACTTGCCGGTGAATCCCCAGCAGACGGAAATCAACAGAATATTAAAATGAAATCTAGGAATAACGTAGGTTTGAAAGAAGTGAAATTGGTGACCCTGTGCGAATATAGAACGAATAGGTACGACTTGAAATTTCCTCGAATGAAACAATCGACGTATCTGAATGCCTTCAAGCTATGTTCCTTAGAGGAGTAGCGATTAGCGTATATCAACAGAAGTAATTCGCTACCGAGAAACGTTACAGCGGCAACTATGAATGCTGGAATAGTCACTGGATGTCTCCTAGCCAACTCGGACCAGCAATGCATTAGCATTCGAGGTTTGAGACCGCGGTTCGTGTGCCTTTGATCATTTTTACGGAATCCCCTGCCCTATCCGACCGAACAAGCCTCCGACACCGAAAAGTGGACGAGAGAACGAAGTTGGACGCGCTTAAACGGGTCAAACAACACCGTCGTGTCGACCAGAGGATAGTGCTGCCAGTTAAACTTCTTAGGTGGTGTCTTAGGGATGCAAAAATATCAGGCTAGCTAAGCAACTAATATTCTGCACAGTGGAGCGCAGATTGGATTGTAGTAATCGCCAGGGCATCTTTCTGGGACGAAGGTAAGTCAGTTAGACGTAGTAGTAGTAGTAGTAGTAGTAGTAGTAGTAGTAGTAGTAGTAGTAGTAGTAGTAGTAGTAGTAGTAGTAGTAGTAGTAGTAGTAGTAGTAGTAGTAGTAGCAGTAGCAGTAGTAGTAGTAGTAGGAGGAGGAGGAGGAGTAGAAGTAGTAGTAGTAGTAGTAGTTGTTGTAGTAGTAGGAAGGAGAAGTCTCTGCTTTTCTGATACCAGATGGAAGATTCTTCGAGATATCGTTCACGTCACCACTTTGGTATACCCTGGAAGCACACCTGGCAGTGCCAAGCGGCTTGATAACAACGATGAAGAAGTCCGATGTCAAGAAGGACAGGCTATACGAGACCCATGCCAACAAAAGGACCACTGCAGAAAAGACCAATTTGTCGAAAAACAGCTCAGGAGCTAATACTACACTCTTGTCGAGATCACATTCTCTGGAGCGCTGGGCTAAATTTCCCAAGGTCATTTTGAATAGTCATCAGCAGACAGCCTTAGGTGGCACCATATCCTGTTCTTTGTTAATTTTCTTCTTTGCAGCATAACTGGTGCCCATCCGAAGAACTCGAAATGCTAACTAGTTAGAGAAACGGGCTCCAAGCTCTGTAGCTCGTAACTCGTGAACAGACTGCATTTGCTCTTTCAAGAGATGTGGCGACTAAGACATAGTCCACAAACCTTCGGCGGCACAGCCGTCGTCTACCAATACAAACTAAAAAACCGAGTAAACTGACGATTTTCATCATGGTATTTTACCTCGTAGAATAACTGGCAGGGTGTTAGCCCGAACACCACTCAAGCACATGAATGTACATCTGGAACAAAACCTAAATTCAGCAGCAAAATGTGAATTCCAGAAATACCATGGAGCAAAAAACATGACCTTTTGATTCAATAACTCTAACAAAGATGACAGCAGATAAAGATCAATGCCTGTGCTACGTTTACGGATCCTCCAAAAGCCTTGTGCATTGTGAACTGTGATGAGTTATGAAAATTTATGGTGAAATTTGGATGTCCGAAGTGGTTAATGCAAATGACGAGTCAAATTTAAGATGATGTAATGACTCATCACGGACAGCGGGTAGTCTTGGAGACACCTGTGGTAGTAAACGTGTGAAGCAGGATGTGTGTTCGCCTCACAGCATCATGTATTCGCTATGCTGATGGACGCCTACCATGAGAAACAACCCTGAACCAACATCGTTTACCGACCTGATGAACATTTACACAACATCGACTTATACGGCTGAAACGCAAGTATCCGCGGGTTTTGTCCACAGTCTCTTATGTGTTAGCGACCGCGCACTGGATACAACAACCAAAAGGAATGTTCAATAGATCGTATGCCACTTTACCTTCGGCTGATCAAACTTCGGACCGGCCATTAACATGTCAAAGACGGTAGTCATTTGCCAACAGAAGTTAATCTAGAATAGGGCGAAGCCATAGCCACCGTCAGGGGAACTGGTCTTGTCATAGTTCGATGGGTCGACAGCACGAATGTTCCAGATCAGAAGCCAGGGAGACAGAGGTGTTTGGAAAAACTTTACTGAGGCGAAAGATCATACACGCAACTCATCAGGCAGTTTCAGCAAGCGGTTCTCCTCAACCGCGTGACAGCCGTTCAGATTGTTTGCTTTGATGGGGGGAGGGGGGGGTACAGGCGCGCGCCTGGGCTTCTTCAATTAAAAGCCAATCAGCGAGGGATGCATCGTTGATGGGCGTCACGTTTTCCCAACGGCGAGGCCAATTCACACGCGGCTCACGAATCTTATTGACTGGAAGCGTCAGACGGGCCGAAATGCAGCAAGAGTACGCGGTAGCGTAGGCAGCTATGGGGACAGACCACTACAGGAGACCGGATAAACCGAAGACGACGAATAATGACGCCAAAAAACTGGAATAAAGAAACGGTCTGAGTTATCTGTAGGCCTCACCGGATTAGAGGATTAGCACGTCTGACGTTTCGGAGGACGTGGCCGGTTCTCCATTGTCAAAGCGTTTTGCGCAAAAATCGACCAGAATTTAAAATAAACGCCCGAAGTAGTTGGACTTGAACTGGTCGAATTTTCCTTCTTTCGCTGCCTTGACTTTCTGGTTGTTGGTTTGGGAATTTTGGCGGCCTCCTGCGTTGTGTGTCGTCATCTCGATAGTTCGATCGTCGTTGTCGACGATGTCCATCGTGTACTCCACAGCACGGTGAAGCAGGCACAGTACCTTGTGAGTGAATTAGTTTATAGTGAATGTAGACTTGCACAGCATCTACTGCACTCCCTCATCCCCCAACTGGATCCGGTGTCAAGAAGATCGGAGGCGGGGGAGGGCGCCGGTTGATGGCGCGGTCGAGCCCGCACCCTGGCGTTCCACTCCACATCCCCTGATCCACACAGCAAGTGGCCAGGTTTTTGGTCGACAACAGAAAGATGGCTGGCACGGCCGAAGCCGCACCTAGGCGTGCCGTCACACCAAGCACGGATCCCATACAGTGGGAGTGCCATGAAGAACACATTAAGAAGGAGTCATTGCGGCCTGACTCTTAGATCATCTGCCAGAAACTTCACACACAAACAGACAACACTGGGCCGACTGCCAGGTCCAAGTTATCCGGCCAGTTGGCAACCTTCCAAGCCACAGCTTCTAGCGCACCGTAATAACTTCAATCGCTTTAGATTGCTTCTAGTGAGGGAAGTGCACTGAGCAGTCGACCTCACTTTACCTTCTCATTCCCAGGCCCTAGTCACTGTCCGAGTCGATCAGCTGACAGGTGCGGGGAATGGGGTCGCTTGTACCTGTGCTCCCCTTTGTATCGCATTAGTAAGGGGGATGCTTTGTGACGGATCATATCGTCTGTCACGACTGTTGCAACCCGCTTCGTACTCAGATTTCAACTCCATCAATAGGCATCTAGATCTTCCTGCGGCTTATAAAATCTTACCTCACCACATACGCCGGGAATAGAACATTACGGTCACACGGGCTTAAAAACACCGAGGAAACCCGAACCGCCGGCTAAGTTACCCAAAGGGGAGCCCAGGTGAAAGCGACCGCCATTGAGATGACGGAAAACAAAGCAGGAGGCCACAAAGATTCACAAATAACAGCCATAAGGTCATGGCAACGAAAAAAAGAAAGGGTTGATCAGTTCAGGTCCAACTAATTCCGGCGTTTATTTTACATTCTGGTCGATTTTTGCGCAAAACGCTTGGATAATGGAGAACCGACCTAGTCCTCCGAAACGTCAGACATGCAAATTCTCTAATCCGTGAGCCCTACAAACGATCGTCAAACTAAACGTGTCTTCCAGCGAATGCGATATAAACAGGTAGAGTAGGAAGAAAGGAGTAAGTGTGTGCTGCGACTGGCTAATTGGAGGTTGATGAGGAAGTTTCCATGGGTGGTAGTGGAGTTCGAGGGACAGAAGTTACGCGAGTTGGAGAATCACGGAGTAGGGGACCACAGTGCTCGTCCGAATGAGTTGTTTCTAGGTGCCATATTATTCCCCTTATCCGTGTTGATTGTTTTAGCGCTTGTCTGCCCGGAAATCCGACCGTTGGACTTTTGAATATTAATTTTATTCACCTACAGGCTCCACTTTGTGACGCTCGTAATCCGGATGGTGCACATAATTGATGTCAAAGGCTCGTAACATCTGAGCCGCTTGTAATGAGTACCATGTTCCCAAAAGAGTTCCTTGGACATCAGCTTTGATGTGGTCCACGCCCCCAACCACCTTGTCAACACCGCCTTCGATGCGTTGGGTAAGAATGACCGCTAAACAGAGGCGGGGACCTACGATGTCTAGGTGGACGTAACTGAACCTCGCAGTAGAGACTGGGAAAGTGCCGATGGGAGCCCTATCATGCACTTCGATCCTGCTCCGCTGACAGCCCAGACGTTCCCGTGTCTCAGCTATGAGGTCGATGTGCATCTCAGACCAGACGAATCGGTAGGAGGTCAAGACTGGCAGTTGTTCGATTCCACGAATAAAAGAAACTGTTCAGGGGGAAGACCTTGCGACAGAGGCATGACCTTACAAGGGGACAGTGAGAGGCAGTGGAGATGTCACAAGGAATGGTGTCACCACTATTTGGTCAGAGGCAGGTCCTGGTTTTGGCACTCGGAGACGTCCCCTCACAATATGTCACTGTTCAGCAGCCATCTCGGAAAGGCCGATCATTTTAGAGAGTCGAAAATAGACATTTAAGGTACAAGCGAAGATGCGAGTTCCAGGAACTAATTGATCAGAAGAAGAAGAAGAAGAAGAAGAAGAAGAAGAAGAAGAAGATGCGATCGCCGGAACAAGGTCTTTATTCGCCTGACGTTTCGGATTCTCACTTGAATCCATCATCAGAGACAGTAGCAAAAAAGACTCTGATGATGGATTCAAGTGAGAATCCGAAACGCCAGACGAATAAAGACCTTGTTCCAGCGATCGCTTCTCCTTCTGATCAAACATTTAAGGGCCTGAACGGTGCATCAGCCGCCTCGCTTCGTGAGCCATCAATGTGGCGGAGGTGGGCTGCAAAATGTAGTCCAGGCGGTGAATCTCCTGAAGATTCGGTCTGTCGAAGTGCAACTAAGGAGCAAAGGAAAGGGACCTGTGGTCCGTGAATACAGTGAAGTCTCCGCCCTCAAGAAACTGCTGGTAGAGTTTCACGGCTAGGTAGACAGTCAGAAGCTCCCGTCCAAATGTGCTACAGCGTGATTCAGAAAGCTAGAGGTCGTGTATGACTTGCAAGATATTACTGAAGGAGCGTGCTGACAGTAACATTGAAGGCGTCCACCATGAGTGATATGGGTGCCTAGGGGAACAGAGTGGGTCAGGAGGGAGATGTCGGCCAGAGTAGCTTTCACTTTATCAAAAGAACGGGGACGTCTGCGGAAAACTTGAGTGAATCTTTTGGACCTGAGAGGAGGTTAATGAACGGCAGAATGGTGTCGGCATAGTCGAGGAGGAACCGGTGGTATAGATTCAACGTACAGAGAAAGCTCTACGGTGAATTCACGGGTGAGTACAACCTTCGAATGGAGAGGGTTGATGCTGATAAGTTCGACCAAGTGTCTGAAAACCTCGAGAAAGATCGTCGAAGACACACTTGGATGGGTGGAGAACAGCGCGAAATTGTCGAAAGCGATCTAACACTGTTACAAGATACTCCGTGTGGTGGGGTTGGCCAAAAAGAAGCCGTCAGTATAGGCGTATAAAGGGTTAGTTCATGAAGAATTCTCTTTTGAACCTCTGAGAGATTTGGGAGGTATTGTGGAGTCTAATCGACATACGCAGGGAATCGGAGAGGCCAAGAGGAGAGTGATGACGGCCGTTTTCAAAACGTCATATTGGACTTGTTGGAATAGCTACACTAGGTTGATCTTCAAAAAGACAGATTTACCATGTAATTCACAGACAAAATTCCCGAGATGCAGGACAGGATAGTGATCAGGGATGGTGACATGGCTCAAGGCCCT